AAATGTTTACTCAGTATATCTATTATTAAAAGAAATGTGTATTAAAATTTAGTAAATTTTTTTCAGTGTACAAAAGAGACGTAAAGATTAATTCAAAATATGCAAATGTAAAAGAGATATAATGGAAAAAGGATTAATGATTTACTTAATTAGATATTTTTAAGAGTTTGCTTATCATAATCATATTATCGTCATATCAAGCTTACACGATGAATGATTGTTGTACATTTTTCAAGTTAGTCGCATAACAATTCTCTCTCGGTAATAATTCTCGAAAAAAAAGAATGTTGCAATTTTGGTTCTAAAAATGTTTTAGTTTTACTGAAGATTAGTCGTACAATATAGATCTAAAAGTATACTCGAGGGAAAAAAAACGATCAATGGAAGATTGATATTTTCTGTCAATATCTTAAAGATAAAAAACGTGATAATCTTACAATTCGTGCAAGTTTTTTAATGTTTAAATTAGAGTAATATTTGTATTATATATTTAAATTTTTTGAAAATCTGACATTTAATCAATATTTAGAGTGCTTAGAACATAGGCTATATCGTAAATCCTCGCACATTAGACAGTAGATATTTAGGTCTGTATTAATTGTCAGATCTTATATTTAAAATCATCTTAAGTGCAGTCTTAAGATGTTTCAGTCATAAATTTATCAGAATGCCGTAGCATCTTTTAATATATGTTACTTAATAATCTTAAAAAGAGTCAACTGAATACCTGTGAATAAATATGTGTATGTCTTTAGTCACGCTTACAAGCATATGTCGTAAAAATGCCTTTCAAAGAATAAAAGCTGTTATTGTTATCCTTTGTCAGAGTAAAAAAATTTATGTGTTTATGTTGGAAACGGTCCACTCACATTCTTGTTAACAGTTTGTGTTGAATTTTTTAACATATTTAAATGTTAATTTAATAATATGATATGTTGTTATATTATTTAAAGATTTTTTGTGAAATTGATATTCAATGTTTTTTAGTGTCAAAATGACACAATTTATAAGTAAGTGAACAAGTAATATAAAAATAATGTATTTTAAAACATAAATTCTAAGATAAATAAATAAAATCCGTGTTAATTTAACCTATCATAAATGTTAATTTTCTGACAAAAAAATACTTTTACAAATTATATCGATGTTATCTTTTTTTGTACTTATTGTCTTACATAATAATTGTGTTACTTTCTAATATATTTATCTTATGTAAAATTAATTCAAAAATTAATTCAAAAATTTGAATGGACCATTTAGGACATGCGAAATTATGTCAAATTCAATACATTTTTTCCTGTGTATAACAATAATGTATATTATAAAAGCTTAAAATCGAAAATTTAAAGGTTGCAAGTAATAATATTTTACAACAATATTAAAAATTTAATTTGGAAATATTATTTTGCAAAAAGCTTCCATAAAAATTATATTTTTATTTTAATGTCACCTCTTATCATTGTATAATTTTTTTTCAGCGTGTAAAACTAAACTTTTCAGCAAAAGGTATATAATATTATATTTCACAATTGTTACATTGCAATATTTTTACAATGTTTTTTAAAACTTTATCGTTACAATTTACATAATTTTACCATCATGAGATTATATTTAGTTAACAACACAACAGTGCAATTTTCTGAAACAAAAATCGAGTACATAAAAAAATTAAAGTTGTATCTTAAAACTTATATATTGCAATTTTAATCTAAAATCTAGGCTTTAATTCATAGAAAATTTTTCTTTATAAGCTCGGATCTATAATAGGTTTTTAAACCTTAAGTTATAAGAAATGAACGAATCATAGTCAATTATATTCTCCTCGCATTTAATACTAATTAGTCAATTTCTTACGACTTAAGGCTTAAAACATCTATTGTAGAGCTAGATTAAAAGTGATTGAAGTATTCACAAGTTCGATTATTTTTAAAATGATTCTTAATGTCTTAAAATACAGCTTTCTGATTTCTTGATTCATGACATCTTAAGACAGTCTTAAATGTAAGATCTGATAATAACAGTTATTATTTAATTGTCTGATATATCTGTATTATAAAGTTCGTTATGTAATAAAGATATATCGCGAAATTTGAACAAGTGAAGTTATAAATTACGCATTAATTTAATAATATTAAATTACATTAATAGCTTTAATATATAACATTACTTTTTGAGGTCAAATAAAATCGTGGTATAGTTCATACAAAACATAAAAGCAAAATGTATAATTCATAAAAATTATTATTAGATACGACATTTCTTCTCATGACTAAAAATATTAACTTTATTTATTTGCGTTAATATGCGAAAAATTCAATTTCATGTATAACTTGATATGGTCTTAAATTTTTAATTAACTCATACATATTTTTTTTCGTTAATATCGTAAACGAATAAATAAATACCAATAAATTTCCTTTATAGAGAATTGTTATTTTCGCAAATTTTTTTTTACGTTAGAAACATGTTGCATTTACTACATCAGTTTACAGTAAAATCTAACGTTAAGTCAAACGTTAACAATTATACCGTATTCTTTATATGGAAATTCGTTGAGGAAAAATTTTCAAAAAAATTTCTACCTGCAAAATTTCTATTTGACCAAGGTTGCAAGAAAAGTAAATCCGATCCTGCCGTCTCCCACCATCAGGATTGCTTCACTGTACGGCTATGATGTTATGCAACATCGTGCTACTGACTCCACCTCTCTGTTGGAGGGGACATTATAAGGGCGGCATTTTCCCCACTCGGTGTGCGAACGCTGGAGGTGGCTCATCTACCGTAAATGCTATATATAGAACTACTTTTACTCTACGCTCGTAGTTCGAACACATCACATGGTTTCGTGGTGGCACACGGACCTTGCACTAAATAGAGAAAGAAAAGGTTTGTGCATGTTGTGATCTGTAACATATCTTTTTTTCTTTTTTTTTTCTTTATCCGAATATACGTTTCTCTGAGAGAAATCGCGAAGTGATTATTCTAGTTGTGGTGCATTACGGAATTCCAGATAAGAGAAGATAGAGAGAAACAACGTGTAAGTTACTTCCTTTCCTTATAAAATTTGCGCTAACGAGAGATTCGTTTATAAGAATCGTTTATGTCTTTCACAATTGAGATTTTTTTTTAAGTCTTATGAATTCCACTTGATATTTTGTTTGATATTTCCTCGCGTTTAAAGCGCGATGATTTCTAATGTTTACGTTTTGTAAGTGACTTGTTGTCACGTGAAACATGAGTTTGAGAAATAATAAGTATTATAGATAAGTATCGAGTATTAATATTCATATATTGACAATATTGCATCTTTTCTGTTCATTATATATAATTGTCAATCTTTTAAAGCAGTGATGCGTAATCTGCGATCTTCACTTGAATTTTTTGTATAAATTTGTCAGCTCATAATTGAAAATATAAAATCATATTTTTTATTTTATGCAAACGAAATAAATATTATATATATACACAAAAGATTTTACCTGTTTTAAAAAATGGCTCTCTGAAAATTGCCCTTAAAAAGATTACTCATTACTGTTTTAAGGATATAATTTGCATATAATTTCGTGGTTTCTTGTCATATCTGCTACAATTTTCAACAATTTAACCCGTTTAAATACGTTACTAATTCATTTTACGAAAGAGAAAATTGTTATTGGCGTGTTATATCATTTTGACGCGAGATTCGCGCAATTTGCTAAATTTAGGAAATCATAAGACTTAAAAAATATTTAATATACTTTTACGGATACTTTTTTCCGGAAATATATATAGATATAGATAATTGCGAAAGTATCGAAACGTCTACTAACAAAATATTGTATTAAAATTTTCAAATTACAATATGATTCATGATATATATATAGTTTACGTATGTATATTGTGTAGCGTTCGTCATGCCATTTTCCGTGTCAATAATGTTTTCAAGAGTTTTATATTCATTGGGCTATTAAACGAAAATTTTTGAAATTGGAAACGGATCAATCAGACTGCGTTCAAGTGTGCTCATTGCATTTAAATACATCTTGGAAGGAGCCTGCAGTATATGCGTCCTCTTCACTTCAAAAAACACTCAGGTTGCAGTCAATAGTTGACTAATGAGGCTTTTTTTAAAAAATATATTATTATAGTTAAAAACGTTCACCTTGTACAGTCTCGATATTTATTATCAATACTCAAAATATATAAGATATATTATGTTAGAAATATTAGAAAAATAAAATTGATAATAAAATTATTTAAATGGAAATTATGTGTATGAATTTGTATGAAGTTAGCTTTATAAGTTTTGTATTTTTTGTATATAATTTAATTATGTTGTATTATGCTTTTATGTCAATTTGTGCTGTAAAGCGTTTTTAGAACTAATAATATGTCGTAATCGATGTATTTTGTTAGAAAAAAAGTCTTACAACTATTATATAATTAAAACAAGTATCGTGTTAGTATCCAACAAAGTATAGATATTTGAGATTATTAAGTTTTTTTACTTCTTGACAAATATTATTTACTTCTTGCTCTCAAAATTACATAAAAATAATTATGCTCATTCGAGCTTACAATTAATATTGCACGTAATCGCGTAAGGCTCGTAAAATATTGATCGCTAATTAACGTACGTAGTTGGAAATTTAAAATTTCTATTAATAAATATCTATTAATAAATATCTATTAATAAACACGTGATTACGTTCATTGAAACCTGAAATTACAATTTTTAATTCTTGTGCCAGCTTTGAATTATTTTTTGGAAAAGTTTTAAATTTTTAATTCTTCATACTATAAATCTTGTATTTATATATTTTCTTTTTTTCGAAATTTGTGCTTTTACATACAATATCCTGATCATTTTACTTGAAATATTCGGAAATATATTTCGCTATCAAGCAATATTAAAAGTTACTTGTAGACATTTAAATACTTTCGTGATTGTGTTACATGTATATACGAATGATATGACTGGTTAATATATGCATGTGTTTCAACTGTTATAAAGTAACAAGATGAGGAATCATTACGACGAAGAGAACAGCCCGGACAATAATCCGGAGGAAGACAACATTATCGTCGACCAGGTGAACACATCGCGCGGTTCGCACTCTGACAATGGTAAGTTCTATGAATGTCTAAGAGTCACATTTAAAAAATATTTCTCAAGTTCATCATTATAGAATTATGTAGAGCAAGCCTAATTTTTGAACTCCGGAGACAAAATACAAAACTATTGATGCAAAAAAATTCAATGTGGGTAAGATTTCGGGGACTGTAAAGTATTGATATGCATCTGAGTGACGCTTATCAATACTAAAATCTTACATTGAATTTTTTTGCGTCGATGAGTTTGCGTTTTGGTTCCGGAGCTTAAATTGTACAGGCCTGATACAGGGCATTGTTGACGCGTGTAACACGATTATCATTGATGTTTAATCGCATTTTTAATTGGACTGACCGCTCAAGTTAATTGTATCGATAATAATAGACATATTGAAGCGATTATATGAATAAAAGTTTTTATTTTGTCCTTTTTATTTTTTTTTCTATAATATTGAACTTACGAGATCTTGTACATATAAGAGAGAAGAGTAACTACAATATCAAAATATTAAACAAATATTAACGTTAATATATGATATAATTAATTAGCTTATTCTCCTAACTCTGGACGTACGTAGAGGAGAGAGAGGGGAGGGGGGAAGACTGTTTATCGATTTTAAATTTTGGCAACGAGAAATAATTAAATTATGAAAATAATTCTTACGATAAAAAAATTAAACACTTATTGTTGAATTTGTGACTCATACATTATTCGGATAAAAAATTGAAGATTCTCAAATGCTAATTTTAAGTATTTTAATAAATTTTGTGTGAAGATATGTATTATAGCTATAACAAGTATCGGTTTGAAAATGCAATTACTTTCGATTAATTATCATCATAGTCGCGTGACAATAACTTTTTTTCATGTTTGCGTTAAAAGCGCGAGAATTGATGCCGATAAATGATAGCATTTTCATTTCTTTTTATTATCACATCGTCTCTTGTCTCATTCTCGGCTATTTTATGTGATTTGCATTATTATCGTGGCGCAGTTTCACGTTTGTTCCACGTAACTACTAACCAGGAAAAATCCAAGAGATTATAGAAAAATCAAAGGAAAACCGACCGGAAATAATTCTGTAAAACGACGTTTTCTATCTTGCTATTTTCTAACAGATTTCTATCTGCTGTTAATTTCTTTTGATCCTTGTCATTAACCTTAAACTTATTGTGTCTTTGACACAAAGATGACAATCTAGAGATTGAAATGGCACAACTTTACAATATCGACTCTCTTAAAGAATGTATGACAAGAAACATCTTTTGTTGTATCCATGTAAAAATTTTCGCTTTTCTTCTAACTTACTGTCAGTTGCAACCCGCTGTTAGTTGCAACTTATTGTATTTTATTCTTCTTTATAAAATTTATAGCTTTGTAATTATATATTTCACCGAAACTACTTCGAAATACTACTTCGAAATTACCTGGTAGACGTTAAAATATTAGAAATGAATTAGCACAGCTTTACAACATATTGACTTTCTCAAAGAATATATAATGAGAAAATATCCTTTATATCTCTGTAAGTTACAATATCTCTGCTAACGTAAAAATTCTTGTTTAAGTTTCGAACAGCTTTCCTGCTGTTAGTTTGTCGCTAAGCTAACTTATTATATTCTATTCTTCTTTTCGAAAAATTTGTGGTGGCTTTGTAATTTATACGAAACTATTATATGTCCTTCGAAATAACTTATTTGGGTAATAAGAATTGAGTTGACAGCTTTAGCATTCCTTGTTACATCTCTATAAATGTAAAAATACTTAAATCTAAGACATTGACACTAGTCGGTACGACAAAAAGAAAGACTTGCGGCTTTGTACACATTCTGCTTCTTTAAGGAGCAAATAGTAAAACCATGCAAATCCGCCTTTGTTTTAAAACAAAGGTGGATTTGCATGGTTTTACTATTTTGATTAATTTTGAACATAATATACATAGTTTTTTCCAGCAATCCTGCTCATTTTAAAATTAAAAATATTTAGATTGAAGACAAAACAATAAAAAAAAATCGCACTCATATTCTCAATTTATCACTAAAGGAAACGAAATCGCTCGTCAATATGCGAATTAATTGTGTAAAATAATTTTGTAATATGTGCAAAAACATTCTCTCAAAATGATAAAAATTATTTACTGGCGTATTAAGGAAGATTATAACATTCAGCGTTTTATGCAGATCTACAATCATCGACTTCGCGTCTCAATCAGCACCAGCAACAGCAGTCTCAGCAGCAACATCAGCAGACATCAATCCCTCCTATAGATCCTAACGTGAGAAGATATAGAACCGCCTTTACGAGGGAGCAACTAACTCGGCTAGAAAGCGAATTTAGCAGAGAGAATTATGTCAGCCGACCGAAAAGATGCGAATTGGCTACACAGCTTAACTTGCCGGAATCTACGATAAAGGTAAAAAACATTTTTATAATATAATATAATAAAAAGAAGATAAAAGTATATTTTTCTAAACGTACTCTCTCTTGATAAATCACACATTAACTCTCTATAATCGCCATTTAGTTTTGAAGTCACACATTCCTTATTTATGTATACTTAAATTTTATTCTATTTTTTTTAATTATAATTGAACGTGTATGTATTTTACTATTGTTTAATTTTTCTTATCGTAATGTCATAATCCAAAAATCTACAGTCTTAATTTATTCTTGCTATGTTTCATTATTATATGTGTGTGCAAGTATTGTGATTTCAAAATTATATAAATTATTATTTCATAATAAAACACTTAAAAAATTGAAAGTTTAAAATTATAGTTAACTGTAGTTTCCTAAGATCAGTATTTATTAGTTACACATTTGTAATCTTCTTTACAACACGAAAAAAAACTAGATTATAAAGATTTCACAGTCTCAATAGTTTTTCTTCGTTTTATCAATATATTTCACGTTTATCTATCAGAAACCTTGAAATATTTGTGCATTGCAAAATCGGTGACAGAGTTATTTAACGTTTACACTTGAGACAGTCTCTGTCAAAACAGAACAGTAAAAAATATAATTTCGATCTCTTCCATTAGATAAACGCTAGATTGAATGTTGCGACTGATACCGAGAAATGAATTGATCGAGAATGAGCAAACGTTTACTCGCATCGATAAACAGTATCTTCATTTGTGATCGGTGTAATAACATTTTCCATTAGCGCTTTCGTGTTTGATTGAAAAATTTGCGGCGGATTATTAAGAAAATCCTTCAATCATTTAATAATTATTAATAATAAATATGCGAATAAAAGTCGAGTTTATATTTTTCTTTTTTGTAGATATTTATATCTGTTTATTGCAATATCATTTTCTCCTTCTTAATTCCGTCTTCTTTCCTAAAATTATATTTAAGACATTTAAATAATATAGTTGTATCTAAGTTGTATCTAATCGTAATATTCCTCGTATCCCGATTTAATTTCTCACGGCCACCATGTCGTATCCGCAAAGACAAGGGCCCCTAAAGTCAAGCGGCTTAATAAAAGGCAATTAGTGACGTTTTTGTTCGCGCGAGCCGCCGAGAGCTGCCGGATGAATATTTCTTGCCGTGGCCAGCTGCGGCCATATTTGATCGGCGATTATAGCCTCGAGAGAGCGATTCAACGGCCGCGATTCTCGGCCTTTGATCCTTCTCTCTCGCGTGTCCCGCGACAGTGCCGTAACGTTAGATCCCGCGGAAATCCTGACGGATCAGAACGAGAACTCCTCCCTTATCTCATATATGTGTATACGTATGTACGTACACATTGTAGCCGCATATTAACGTTTTGGGGACCGACAGTTTAGTCACGGCCCTGATCGAGGGGTGACCGGTCGGGCGAAAGTGTTAAACGGCTCAATTAGCGACTACCTCGCGGCCCACCTCGGACTTTAATGGATCTCTTAATTTCTCATCTCGCGGCAGCTCGCACTCGCCTCGGTTGGCGGTCGTAAAACGGCGGCGAACAACGGAGAGGAGGGGAACGGCGAAGAGGTGTTAAATGACGGTAAACGTCCCGCACGAATTACCAGTATAATCGTTCGCCGCCTCTGAGAATTCCCTACATACGTGAATCTAAATATCTGAGCGTTTATCTTATAGAAATATAGATATATGCACCTAAGATCGCGCCAAGTCTCGTTCTGTTAAAACAGTAATAATTTTCATACTGTAATAGCCGTTATTAAACGATAGGAAAAGACTTGCGTTTCGATCGGTTTGCACATAAACGTCGAATAAAAAGCTAAACAGACACGGGGAAGCGGAATCGATTATTTCTTACGAGTTATCGAAAGAGATTCTTAATAATTATCTACATAGTTGAAAGATTTGTATGCCAAACGATTCCACTTAAAATTTTGTGTTAATTTAACAAGATGAAAAATATGTTAGATAGTAACATAAATATTATTTACAAAATTGAGGCAAAAAAGGTGAAACAATTTGTTGTAAGCAAAGCTGTGGAATCATATTTTTTTCAATAAAATTAACATTTATATATTAAATTAGCACATATTTTATTCATTTATCTTATTGTTAGAATTGATGTTTTAAAACATGTTACTTTTATTAACTTTGTTATTTATCAACTTACTCATTTTGACACTAAGAAATGTTGAATATCAATTTAACACAAATTTTCCAACTACACAGAAGAGAAAATGATGTTACATTAATAGCATTATTTTAATTGAAAATCTTTTTGAGTCAATAACATTTTTATTAATGAAAGAAATCAAATTTTATTGAAATATGAGCATAAAGTATTTGTTTCACTAATAAAGTTAAAATAAATTAACAAAATTATTTTTAATTAAAATAATATTGTTGATACAACATAATTTTCTTTAGTGTATATATTATACAATATAATTGCAAAGAAATTTTATTTTGAAAAAGAATTGATTGTAATTATAGGAACGTTTTTTGCAGGTGTGGTTTCAAAATCGACGCATGAAAGATAAAAGGCAGCGGCAATCCTTATCATGGCCCTTCTCGTGGAATTCGGATCCTACTCTAGCGGCAGCGTTGCTCGCGGCTGCCTCGGCTGGCACGTTTCCGCATATGGGTTACCCGGCTATTCCCACATCGAATTTACCAGCGACGACACACTTGGCCCCTTCGGCATCACCGTATCCGAACGCGGTCGCGGCCGCGGCTGCGTCTACTTATTATCGTTATACCGGGTATCATCAGACCAACTCAGTCACCGCGCTCCATCGGCCACACGTTCGCCCTTTGAGCGGCCCTTATCCTGCACCCTCGCACCTATCGCACCCGTCAATGCCGCCGCTGCATATCCTGTCGAGTATGCAGATGCCAAACATCGCTGCTTCCGCCTTTCCCATGAGCAATCCGCCACCTCCTCCTCCTCCTCCTGTCACCATGCCATATCGGCCGCCGTTGATCGAAGAACTTAGCCCGGTAAATTCTTCCTCCTCCAGCGAGTACGATTACGGAGTAAGTCCTCCTAGTCAGTTGTCGTATCCATCGTCGTATCACTCGGTCCAGCAGCTGCCGCTGCCGCTGCCGCATTCGCATCCGGATCATTCGCACCACGCGCATCGCCTTACTGCACCTGTCATGCCAATAATATCACGAGATAGACTTAGCAGCGGCGAGCAGCCGATGAGACTAAACGGTATGAGTGTACCGGTCATGACGGTACAGCCATTCGAAAACAACGTGAGCAACACCTCGTATCATCACGTGGCGATTCCTTCGACGTCGGATATATCAGCCTTGTCGTCGCTTTCATTAAACAAGTCTGAAAAAGAGCTGGAGCAAGAGAAGAAGGAGAAAGAGAAGGAGAAGGAGGAGAAGGAGAAGGAGAAGAAGAAGAAGGAAAAGGAAAAGAAAGAGAAGGAAGAAAAGGAGAAAAAGGAAAAGGAAGAGAAGGAGAAGGAGAAGCAAGAGCAACATCAGCATCGTCAGCAGCCGCAATCACTTCAGCTACCTTATCCATTTCAACCATCTCAGCCATCTCAGTCACCTCAGTCGCAGCAACGACAGCAACGGCATCCACCCCAGCCCAAGTTGTTTCAGCCATACAAGAACGACAAGGATCATAACGGTACGATGTAAAATAAAACAATAAGATATAATGAATGCTTTCCATTTGATGATACAAGTCGTCACAAGTGTCGTTCTAGCTTTATCACTCTCTGAATGTCAAGAAGGATAGAACAACGCTTGTGTCGACTTGTGTCGACTTGTGTCACCAAATGGAAAACACCCAATATCTCTTCTCGCCGTACACGGCTATTGGCTGTGATTATAATCGCGATCGATTGGCAATGACTATAATCGTGTATATATGTAATTATTTGTACATACATTTGCATAACACGCATGTCGTATATAGGGTTTCAATCGGGGGGGAGAGGATGGGTGCTAGATAAAATTTTATCTTTACACAAAACTTATAACAATATATCTTATTAAAGTCAGCCTTCGAGAATCTTCGGCTTTTTTTACGAATTGATATAAATATTTAACTTTCCATAAAAATGATTTTTCGTCAAATGATTTTTCATAATTTAATTGTTTCTCTTTGTTAAAATTTAGAGGAGACAAACTCTTCCGACTCCCCTTTGCTCATAATAACACGCGCTTTTCTCAATTATCATCTAATGTTACGTTTGTATATTATACAGCCATTCTTTGTACATATATATTACGATAATGTACATTTGTACACATGTAAAATAATTATTTTTTATTTGAATGTATTATATTTAGCCTTCTAATGGTTTAATATTTCTTAATAATTGGGAATAATGGGAATTATCACCTAATGTTATGTTGTATATTATACAGCCATTCTTTGTACATATATATTACGATAATGTACATTTGTACACATGTAAGATAATTATTTTTTATTTGAATATATTATATTTAGCCTTCTAATGGTTTAATATTTCTTAATAATTGGGGATAATGGGAATATGGATGATTTGAGAGAGCGTGTGTTAAGTAATTAAAGTGGCGATCCATTTAGCGGGTTTTGTTTTAAGATTCACACTTTTGTAAGCTTCAAATGTCTTAGATTTGACTTGCGTATTATCTCTACGATTCCGGAATTGCATATTTACACAATCGCAGCCTCACGTCGCTTCCTGAAATTTTGTGATATGACGTAATACACACACACACACACACACACACACACACACACACACACACACACACACACACACACACACACACACACACACACA